GGTGGGAAGATCACTTGTTTGAAGGTCAAGGCTTCAGTGAGCCGAGATCACACCACTGCACTGCAGCCTGAATGACAGTGAGCACTTGTCTTGGCAGCGAAGCCCTGCCCAGCAGGTGGAACCAGAACATGCCAGAGGTCCCCGAGTGCATCCCACCCCGCCGGCACCCTCTGCCCTTACTGTCCTGTGGGCTCTGAGGCTGTCAAGGCCGCTGGGGCAGGCTCTGCCTGGGCGCTTCCCTCAGTAATGGGGGGTCGTGGGTGTTCTGGGTTGTCAGCTGGGCAGTTGGGTGGGAGTCGGGGGTGCTGACCTGACAAGCACGGCCAGGGAGGAGCATTCCAGGGCTCCGAGGATGCCAGCATGGGTGGTCCTGGGCTCGCCCTCCCCGCAGCATGGCTGGCGCGCCTCTACTTCCTCCAGAGCTCCAGGAAGACAGTCTTGACCACATGCACACACGCAGGGAGACTCCAGGAGCCCTGCCCTCAGGAGCACGCTCTGCCCCTCTCCTGGCAGCTAGCCGACACTGCGACCCCACCTGGGCCTGTCCCTGGCACTGAGGACATTGAACCTGGGTCCCTGGGGTGGGGCGTCCTGGGTCCTGCTAGGTGCTCAGCGGTTCCATGCCAGGGGCTCCCACCTCTACCATCGTGCTGACCACAGATGTCCCCAGACATGGCCTGGTGCCCCATGGAAAACTGCTGGCCACAAACCACGGCGTCCTTCCCCTGACCCCTGACCCCTGCCCTTTCCCTCTGACTTGGCCCAGCTGGTGTCTCAGAGCCTGGGTGCGTGCTTCTGCCAGCCCCCTAGCCGCCTGGCCCACACTCCCCAACCCCCTTCACTGAGCCGCGGAGACCCCCATGTCCCTGCCAATGCTTTTTCCAAAGCTGGTCTCAGTGGTTCCCAGCAGTGCAAGGGAAATTGGGGTCCCCCTCACTGGGGCAGCCGCACCTGTCTGATCACTTCCAACAAGGAGACCTTGGTGGCCGCACAGCGCACTTTGTCCGTCTTAAAAGGGGCAACACAGGCACGCAGCAAGAATTCCAGACCACAGAAACCTCACTCTCATGGACCCCACTGCCTGAGGCTTTTTCTGTTTTGCTTTTTGTTTGTTTGAGACGGTCTGGCTCTGTTGCCCAGGCTGGAGTGCAGTGGTGTGAACGTGGCTCACTGCAGCCTTGACCTCCCCAGCTCAAGCGATCTTCCCACTTAAGCCTCCCAAGAAGCTGGGACCACAGGTGTGTACCACCACGCCTGGCTAATTTTTGTGCTTTTTGTAGAAATGGGGCTTGCTGTGTTTCCCAGGCTAAGTAATCCTCCCTCATCGGCCTCCAGGGTGCTGGGATTATAGACGAGAGCCACCGCAGCTGGCCTGCCTGGGTTCTCGTGCCTCTCTGCCTCCCTCCCTGTGCCAGCCTCATGCCCCCTTCTCACCTTCCCCAATTGCCACTCTGACCCCGTCCTGGGTCCTTCCCCTCTCGCTGGCCCAAGCTGTTCCTGGAACTGCTGCCTGCCCTCTGCTCACATCCTGCCTCCGCCCCATGAAGCCAGCTCGTCCATGTTCCCTGTCTCAGGGGTGTCCTCCAGGGCCCAGAGTTCCTGGACCAGATTCCTCTCTTCCCCACCTACCTCGCCCTTCCATCCAGTCAGCCTGTCAGCCCACTTTGCAGCAGAATGCCCCCCCAAAACCCAGCGGCTGGAACGTTCTCCACACGGTTTCCGTGGGACAAGCATCTAAGAGCAGCCCGGCCAGGGGTTGTTGGGGTGGCTTGTGGGGCTGCAGTCTAGATGCTGGCTGGGGCACATCAACTGAAGGCTCCAACGGGGCTGGGGGTCCAAGGAGCCTTGCGCGGGGCAAGGCATGGGAAGGAGGCCGCGGTTCTCCTCCACGTGGGTCAGGCTTCCTGAGCGCCCGCCCTCTGTAATGGCCAGCTCGCCTCTGAGTCAGCGGCCCAGGGTCCCCAGCAGCTACACACGAGTATCGTCGCCATTCTGTCGGTCACACGGAGCAGCCCCGGCTGAACATGAAGACCCTGTAGGGGCTGGGCTTGGTGGCTCACGCCTGTAATCCCAGCACTCTGGGAGGCCGGGGTGGGCGGATCACCTGAGGTCAGGAGTTTGAGACCAGCCTGGCCAACACGGTGAAAACCCATCTCTACTAAAAATACAAAAATTAGCTGGGTGTGGTGGTGGATGCCTGTAATCTCAGCTACTCAGGAGGCTGAAGCAGGAAAATCGCTTGAACCCAGGAGGCAGAGGTTGCAGTGAGCCGAGATTGTGCCAATTGCACTCCAGCCTGGGCGACAGAGCGAGACTCCGTCTCAAAAAAAAAGACCCTGTAGGAAAAGCAAGAGTCTGAACAGCACACACAAGCCCAGGGGCCCCGTCATCCCAGCGGCCCGAGGACCATCCCCCGGGCCCCCACTAGGCTCAGCTGCAGGCTCCACCCCATCCCCCCCCACCAGCACTAGGACTAAGAGCCGCCAGAAACCCTTGGGCTGGCTTCACGGTTCCTCCCGGGAGGAGTCCAGGGCAGCGGACACATGACCCCGACATGGCACGCCGGGGACAGGGGAGGCACTCTGCTGTCCCTGACCCTGTAAAAAAGGCCCACAAGCAAAATCTCTAATGAGCAACGTTCCGCAGTATTAAGTCCTGCCTCAGACCTGCAGGGCGTCAGAAACGGGAACGCCTGAGAAACGGCCACGGTCCCAGGAGCTGAGGAAACACCACACCTGATGCCACGTGGGGTCCTGGAGGGAGCCCTGGGCCAGTAAAGGGCATTAGAGGAAACCCAGGAAACTTGGATGGAGTGTAGATTTTGGTCAGTAATAATGTATCGTGACAGATGTGTCACACTCATGAACTGGGCATGGGGTACTCAGAACTCTAAATTATTCTAAAAATATGTATATAAATTTAAAACCAAAACCATGGCTGGGCGCGGTGCCGCACTCCTGTAATCCCAGCACTCTGGGAGGTCGAGGTGGGCGGATCACCTGGGGTCAGGAGATCCAGACCAGCCTGGCCAACATGGTGAAAACCTATCTCTATTAAAAATACAGAAATTGGCCGGGCGCGGTGGCTCAAGCCTGTAATCCCAGTACTTTGGGAGGTCGAGACGGGCGGATCACGAGGTCAGGAGATCGAGACCATCCTGGCTAACACGGTGAAACCCCGTCTCTACTAAAAATA